TTGTCTTCTACATTTTCTCATACCACCTAATTTAGTAACTTACTCGTAAATTATTAAAGCTTATGTTTTCTGGCTAATTATTTTTAGAGTGAGAGAGGAAGAGAGAGAGACTTTTGCACGTGTAGGCCATGTGGGCCACTGACCCAAATTAGATTTCACAGTTTTTGTCTTGTTATAAAAAAACAGTTGGGCTTTTGAACATGGCCTGTTCCGAATACAATTACGATCCACGGGGTTTATTCCAGTCACATGTTTCTCACGTGACCAAAAACTTACTAGCTTCTTACATTTAGGTCTTTGTTACAGTATAAAAATGTGGATACGCATAAATGGGATATAATAATAGGACATACATAATGTAATGACGTATACAGTGATATTGTTATATACTTATATCATCATCCACAAAAGTAGTTGTCTTGCTTTATAGGCGAGGAAAGTAATTAGAGTTCAATGAGTGGAGAAAAAACTGCAAAAGAAGACGTTTAATATTTGATTAAATATACCTTATATTTATATAAAAAGACAAAACAACAAATAAAAAAACACAAAAGGCATGATTTTAGGGGTTTTGGGATCTGTAGTTTAGTCACACTTATTCTTTAATTTATATGTTAATTATTGAGGGTGATTGATGATTTTTTTTAACAATCATATCGCCACTGAGATATGGTCTACCAGGACTAATCTTTTTTATATTATACATGTAAGTAAATCATATCTATATTTTATCAGGACATATATGCTAATTATCATGGATTTATCAAATATAAAGGTAACGAACGATTGATGCTGTTTTCTTATTATTTTTTTAACAAAGTTTTGAACGATTAATGCAATTCTCTTTCTGTTGAATAATACATATTGGAAAACAAATTCAACTCTCAAGATAAAAGCAATAAATAAAAGGACTCAATTTTGTTCTTTACACATACTATAACTTAACCAGTGTGTAGGAGAAATGATAAAAGATAAATAGTGTTTGGGTAGAAGAATCCAATGATCGAGCTAAGCGTGAAAATAAGAAATAGAGCACAGACTTTCATATATAGGAGCCCGTCAGTGTTCTAAATTTGAGGTCTGTGGCAGTTATGGTTTACTTGAGGTTTCAAAACGGTCCAATTTTATTGTAGATGCATTTAAGTAGAAATTCACATATTTGAAAACAAATTCACGAACGACTACGGCAGCTTATATATTTTAATAAGGACAATTAGTTACACAAGTCGTGCCAATACGACAATTGTGTCGGCTTCGTTCCTTTTAAAAATTGTTATCTTTTCCTTTTGAATAGTTTTTTGGCTATAAAAATCATCCTTTAGTTTTCATCCCTTTTCTATAACATTTCTTCATTAAAGTTAGACATATGTATTCTGTGTGTGTGTGTGTGTGATATTATATCTTGATTTAGAAATATATGATGTGCATGAGAAATAGCTTAAAAACTTATTTGGTTAAGATGCATTTGAGTTCTGAGTAACATCTAAAAAATATTTAGAGTTAATAAATGTAATTGATCAGAGCAATTTAAACACAGTGGTTCATAGGAAACCAATCTTTAACATCGTATGAACAAAGAAAAAACACAAATATGTGAACGTGATAAGCTGTAGCTTCTGGCTTACTTAATAACGAGATGAAACTGAATCCAATGACTGAAAATAAGCTTAAAAGTTTAGAAAAAGAGATGGAGTTTAACGTAACACACACACACACACACACACACACATATATATATATATATATATATATATATATATATATATATTTATAAATTTGAATAATTGATGTTATAAGCGATTTTGAATTATATTTTCTGTTTACGCATATTTGTGATATCTATAGTTATCATCTTCTATTCGAACAATATAGTACTGCTTACTTTACAAAGAAGAAAGGAAGCTAATTTTGAAACTTCTTGTGGATTGTGAGTGTTCAATTATATACATAACTACAAAGACATACGGATACATATCCCACAAAACGTCTCAAAATTCTCTTACGTAAGTAAATGATTATATCCATAACATATACATGTATATCTTGTTTTGTTTTTAGTTACTTATTCATATATCACTTTTGTGGTACATAAGTACAAAGTACTCAACAACTAATCATAGCTTAAATCGAGCCTAACAATGAAACTGGTTCGATGCCCAATCAGTCTATGTTACTATAATTTAGCCGAAATAGATTCTGTTATTTACCTCCAGTTGTAGTCTTCTTAGATAATGACGAAAAGTATATGAATAATTTGAGTTTAAACAAATGTTAAAAAAAAAGGAAGCTGGAGGAAGACAAGAAAGAGGAATTTGGTGCTTGGTGTTTGTTTGTAAGCATTAAATGATAAAAGAAGAGGAAATAAGTGACATTAAATAAGGAGGAGAATAAATATGGGAAAAAACGACACATCCTCTCCGACAAAGATTTTAGAAGCGTGTTAGAAAGAAAACTCTAAACATTTTGAACCGGAAGGACCATTTGACTGTGGACCAATTACTATGGTTCGAATTAGATTGTTTTCAACTGTTAAAATGATAAAATCTTATGTTTGTTATTTACTTCGTCTTCGTCTATGGATCAAGTGTTTTACTTCGTCTATGGTCGTTCAAATATCCGAACGGATTAGTTTAAATTGTTCTTAGACCATGTTTCATGGAATATAATCCAAAGTTTTTTATTTGGATTTAGATTCCTTTTATGTTTAAGCATTTTTTGCAAAGTTCCTTCATCTATAGGTTTACTTGATGATGGAATTGGCTTCATCACCTAGTTGTAAAACTTATTTATCAAAATTTTCACCATTAGAGTTGATCCAAATCCTACTACATTTTAGTATTTAAACTCTATAACTACAAATATTGTTTATATTAATAAGGATAGAAATGAAATCATTACCTCCATGTTAATTATTAGCTAGCGCTATCGGCTACTTTGTCCAAGTTATATGCACTTATATTAAAATTGTAGTCTGTGCTGCTAGAGTAATTTTCAAATATTAGTACATAAAAAATATATAAAAAAATCGTTCAGTTAGAGTAAAAAGCGATCGAGGATTTTATCTGCTAGATTATCGATATGGAACAAGCAAATAAGTGAACGCTATGGCTATGAGTTCTTCATACGCATCAATTATCTAGATGTGAACTACGCATATAATGCATATCAAAAGAAGTATGTTGTATTTTTGTCGGCATATATTGTATTTTCATTTTCTGACTTGTAGGAGTATATTGTATGCTGAACAAGTAGATCTGTAGATGTAAGGATTTCTTGGAAATTGAAATCACTGGGAAACAGAATATTAGGGATCTCCAAACCCTAGGACAATTGACTCCTTCGAGAAATTGGTCTTTTTACTTGTTGGCAACAAAAAAACTCATTTAATTAGGACTCCATTTTTTTTTTTGTCGGAACTCATATTTAGGACTTTATTGGTTAGAATGTAACTCGTTCACGCTTAAAATACAATTCTGTTTGTATGCGTCACATATGACACAATGCCCTCGTCATCTTCTGTGTGCGTGGCATTTTTTTTTTGTCCATCTTGGAAGAAAAAAATTCATCTATTAAGCATTTAAACTAGTTAAGCATATCTATGTAAGAGGCAAAAAATAAGCATACATATGTAGCCACGTTTAAAAATGCCAGCCTTTTTGCCCCACTCTAACAGAGTTGAATAAAGAACGAACAAAATTGCTACAATACAAGTATACAACTAAAACCCCAAATAAGAGATCATCACAACTTATAATTTTTTTTGCGCTATTTGTAAAGAAAAATGCCTAAGAATTTAAGCTCTACTATAATTTATAAAAATGTATGTCTTAACTTACTTCTTCCATACGCTGACAAGTTTTTGAGAATACTTTTCAAAATAAAATATACTATCAAATATACAAATTCCACAATGAGTTTATTCCACGATGAAATGATAAGAGAAATGTGCTCTTACAATCTTACCTTACTTTTCAACGAAAGATAAGGAGCGAAATAGTAACACTCTAAAGAAAAATGCTGAGAGGAAATTGATCATCCGATGTAATAAAGACGCATACCGAGTTTGTGAATTGTGATTCGTTTTTACGTCGTAAAATACGCAGTTCGTTAAATGTATTTCCATTGTTACAAATACAGAAAACCCTACGCAACACAATTCAGTACTTTTTACGTCAGCAAAAATAGAATCTTTCGTTGAAAAAACAAGAAGAATCTTTCTTGTCTTAATTTTGTTATCTTCTTTTATTGGATATGGATTTTTATTGAAGAAAAATACTAGTTAGTCTAGTACCTACTGAATTAAACTTTGGTATTGGCCCAAAATAAAATCATTGCGAGTTTAGAACTAAATAGTTAATTTAAACCGTTAGATCAAAGAAGCAATCTTAATCACCGATAGAAAAATATAGTAATCAATAAATTTGAAGAATGTGTAGAGATATATCAAAAAGGATAATTAAAATTACATTCGACGAAAAAGGCAGATGCATAGACCATAGATGCAAGACACTTGTGATATACCCGAAACATTATTTAGTAATTTATTTCGAAAATTATACACCGTATATAAAATATTCGAATAATCCTTTTTCCTTGATTTTAAAATATTTTTGCTTGTTTTCTCAACTCATGTATTGATTTAAATAATAAAAGTAGCTACCACCTTTCTCTGCCCCACTTTAAGATAAAGCTAAAGCATGGAAAAAAGCATGGGAAAAAAGTAAATACATGATATATAATAAAATTAATCTAAAGAAAAGGAAATTAAAGGAACAACAAAAAAGTGAGAGGAAAAAGACAAATTTTAAAAACAAAAAATACTCCAAAAAAATTAACATCACATGTTAACAAATGAGATCAAAATATAAGTTATTGTTTTGAGTTTTCTTTCTCTTTCTCTTCTCCAAGAAAACTACTTAAGATAAAGAATCAAACACTTTCTCCAAAGCCTTTGATTAGTATACACATAAAGTGATCTAGAGAGAGAGAGATATAAGGTGATGAATAGAGGTGTGTTGGAGAGTTCGCCGGTTCAACAGCTGATGGGGGCCGGAAACCCTAATTGGTGGAACGTAAGCGGCGGCATGAGGCCACCACCACCGCTGATGGGTCATCAGCAGGGGCCTTTGCCGCCACAAATGACTCCTAACAACAATTATCTCCGACCACGAATGATGCCGACTCTCTTGCCGCATTTCTTGCCATCTCCGGCGACTTCGTCGTCTTCATCTTCTTCACCGTCTTTGCCTAATAACCCTAATCTCTCTTCTTGGCTCGAAAGCAATGATCTCCCTCCCGAGTCTTGGAGCCTTAGCCAACTTCTTTTGTAACTCTCTCCTCTCTCTCTCTCTCTCTCTCTCTCTCTCTCTCTCTCTCTCTCTCTCTCCCTATATATCTATATATATTTATATATATATACATATTCCGAAATGAAATATTCTCTAAGTACATCAGCTTGAGTTCTCCTACATAACTTCCTAGCTTTGGTTTGTCATGTGTTGCAGCCTGATCTTGATTTCCTCTTTGTTATTGACATATATACGTATATATGTGTATATATATCACTTTCCATGAAACTCAAGCTTTGCTTAGGGTGTGTAGTATTTTCAGTAATATCAAATAAGCAAATCTAATATGGATGTTTTCTTTGTGAATTAAGGGGTGGATTGATGATGGGAGAGGAAGAGAGATTGGAGATGATGAGCAATCACAATCATCATGATGAACAACAGCAACACCATAGCTTTCAAGGAAAGATGAGACTGGAGAATTGGGAAGAACAAGTGTTAAGCCACCAGCAAGCTTCGATGGGGGTTGTTGACGTCAAACAAGAGAGTAACATTAATAACAACAATGGCTATCTCATGTCTTCTCCGAACTCACCTCCCAATAAATCTTGTGTTACAACCACAACCACAACAAGCCTCAATAGCAACGACGATAACAGCAACAACAATAATAACAATATGTTGGATTTCTCGAGCAATCACAACGGTCTTAACAATTCCGAAGGAAGACACGCTCTTCCGGATCGATCCTCTGAGGTAATTTTTCTTTTGCCTCTTTGATATTAATTTTGATAGAATACAGAGAAAAAAAAATCTGAAATAATGCTAAATTGAGTTACAGTAGATAATAGAAATAAATTTCGGAAATAATATGTAATTTACATATAATTAGCAAACACATCATACTATCAACAATGAATAAGTAAATTCTAAAACGTCAATTAAAAGAGAACAAGACAAACCATGTCTTATTTTAAGGTTTGGATATAAATTCAACACTCAACCCATAATAAGCTTTGCTATGATTCTTTTTTATAAAAGACTAATTGATCTTTGTTTTGTTTGTTATATCAATGTGTTGAAGTGTAACAGCTTAGAGATTGGTGGGTCTACAAACAAGAAGCCAAGGCTTCAACCTTCTCCTTCGTCTCAATCAACCCTCAAGGTAATTAATTGTTTATATATATATCAACGTACTCTAATCAGCTTATATAACGTTTTCTATATATATAAATTCTCTCCCTGACATCATAATAATAAAACAAAAACACAAACACAAAGGAGAACAGAAGAAGCAAACAAAACAGAATGGGCACAGAATAAGCTGTGTGGTTTTTGTGTTTTGTAACTCTTTTGTTCTTTCTTGTTTTGTCTTCTTCTTCCTTCTCCATATTCCCTTTTCTCTCTTTCTTTCATAAAAATCAAACTTATTAACACTTCTCAACAACATTCCTTCGATATTATATATTGAAACATTTAGACTTCAAGGTTTGTTTTGCTGTAACTATTTGAAACGTAAAAATGGAGAGAATATTCAATGTTATATGTGAAAATTCGATATTTTTAATCACTTCTACTTACGAAGTAAGCACGTTTTCTCTATGCATGGTAATTAGTAAAAAAGTATAACCACTCATGCATATATATAAAGCTTTTACTTTAGGCCATTAATTATTTTTTCGTGATAATTAAAGGTGAGAAAGGAGAAACTAGGAGGCCGGATCGCAGCGCTTCATCAGCTAGTATCTCCATTTGGAAAGGTAAATATCGGTTTAAATAAACTAATCACATTTACTAATGTCGTGTAGTATTCACTTATCAAAACAACTTTTAACATTAATATCGGAGATATTTTAGTTTTATTTTTGCTAATCTAAATCATTCTTCTTCCTTTTTTACCCATCTTTTGCAGACTGACACAGCCTCTGTCCTGTCGGAAGCTATTGGATACATTAGATTCCTTCAGAGTCAAATTGAGGTGCGACTCGTCTTTTCCAAACTCTCAATATTCTCATTTTTCCATTCAGTTAAATAAGAACAATGCTAAAGTTTTTATTTATATGAATAATGGCTAACTTATATTCTAGAAACTAGAAAGAACAAAGAAAACTAATTGTCAGAGAATCGAAGTGATAACTGAAAAATGTACCATTCATATCTTCTAGTTCTCCCTTCCGTTTTCAAACAATTTACTATATCTCTAAAAAAAATTCGAATTGGGTCTCCGTCTATAAATTTGCTGATTATACTGGAAATCCATCTCATTACAGTATCACTAGCTAAAAAACATATTTTGGTTTCATAGTGTTTGAACATTACAGTATACTATATATTCATCGATCCACAAAAATTATTTCATGGATTTTAAATTATTTATAAAAAGAGAGAGATGGAGAAAGAATAAAGATAGTATAAAGTTTTGTTCTCTCCATGTTAAGTAATATTTGATTGATGTGACTTTATATATAAAGTATTTATGTTTTCTTTTTTGAAACTGTTGCAGGCTCTGAGTCATCCATACTTTGGTACGACTGCCTCGGGGAATATGAGGCACCAACAACAACATGTAAGCACCAAATTTATATTTTATACATATATTATTATACTTATGGATTGTAATACGTAATACTCTATTGGTTCATACAATCATACTGTACTTGACTTCTAATTACTAATTGGATCTCTCTTAACTATGTTGTTTATGAATAGTTGCAAGGAGACAGGAGTTGCATATTTCCTGAGGACCCTGGTCAGGTGCGTCCATTTTTTTAAGCTGCCTCTGCTTTATATAATTATAGTTTATACACAATACTTTTTATTGGATCAATTGAATCCTAATCTAAAATGTGAACAGCTTTAGTTTCCAAAACTTCTCCCTTTTTTCCTTTTTCCACAGTTCTCTTTAAAGATAAAGTTGAATTTAGTATTAAAAGATGCAGTCGCCAGCCTTTTTTTACCCTCCGTTGCATTATCACAGCCAACAAAAGTTCGTTAAAACCAACAAAGCCAATAAAATTATATATTCTCGTTATTTTTTTTTCTTCAGCAAAGTGCATTTCAAATTCCTTTGGCGCTTCTGTAAAATAATGGATCAACTGCTATAGTGCTATTGTATATGTGTTACTTTGTTATTGATCAAATGCATAAATCCTTAAAAGTTATTTTATGATATGGTTTTAGCTCGTGAATGATCAGTGCATGAAGAGAAGAGGAGCTTCGTCTTCGTCTACGGATCAAAATCCAGAGGAAGAACCCAAGAAAGATCTGAGAAGTCGAGGTTTATGTCTTGTTCCAATTTCCTGCACACTCCAAGTTGGCAGCGACAACGGCGCGGACTACTGGGCTCCGGCACTCGGCTCAGCCGGTTTCCATTGAGCCAATGGAGTTACGCCACATGGAATTCAAACGATAGAGAAAATGATATAACATCACGAGCAGTCAGTCTACTGAGAAAACAACAAATTGAGTTTCCAAGGCTGATTGCTCATGATGCTATACAACCTTGCTGTAGAATTTGCATTTGGCGCTTGATGAATATGCGTTTAGCATTTCATTATTTGATGTGCTATCAGATGATCAAGCATTATGTTCTTTGCTTTAGGAAACTGTTTGTTTTTGTTTACCGGTTAATTGTAATTTGTGGTTAAGTACTTATTTTAATTACTTCCACGTGGTTTGTCTCGATATTTTACTATTTTGTTTTATATTATGTTTATTGTGTGAAAGAAATATCACAAAAAATGAAACAAAAAGAAATTGCCTGGAAATTTCCCATAAGCTATGAGGTTTTTTCTTCATTCGAAAAATAGTAATGAAAACCTAGATAAAAAGATCAATTTTCATAAACGACAAATTTTATTTAATATTAGTGACAAAATAATCGTACATCTTTATATTATTAATTGAGAAGTACATTCTAATGTTTGGATACAAGAATTAGAGAAACATCTATTTGGATAGAAGAATAAATGGAAACAAAAGTTGTTTGGATATAAGAATAAGAGAAAAATCTATTTGGATAGAAGAATAAATGGAAAAAATTGTTTGGATACAAGAATAATAACTTAAAATAAACCGATGGTTTAGAAAACTTCCGTTTTCCATCTCTTAAAAATCTGCAAAAAAAAAACTTAACATAATCTAACGATAATTCCAAATCAATAGAATATGCTTTTTGGATTTTCGGGTTTTTATAGACAAGTTCGGGTTTGGGTGAAAATCTGAGACATAATTTTATAGAGATATATATAGAGATATAGAAATTGTTCGGGTTTCTTTGAAAATTTCTGTTCGGGTTAGGTTCAATTTTTTTTTTCAGTTTAGGGTTTTCCGGATTTTTTAGATTTCTGGTTTTCGGGTTTAGATATATTAAAAAAATTGAGTATTTTAAAATTTTGATTAGGTATTGGGGTCGGGTTCCGGGTGAAAAAGTTTCCAGATTTTTTTTGTTCAGTCAGGGTTTTCGGGATTTTTTTGATTTCGGATTTTCATGTTTAGACCTATTAAAAAAGTTTGGGTTTTTAAATTTTTTGATTAGGGTTTTTTGTCGGGTTCGGATTTAGGGTTTAAATTTTCTACACAAAACAACAACGTCACACCGCACAAACGTGCGGGTACTCTACTAGTCATCATTATTGGAGGATCACTATCAAAGAAGAAAATAGGAACTAGTGTTCTTTTTTAATAATTTTTATTCTTTCACTTCTTCTCTTTTGCGTGAAGATCATCAAAGAACTTCTTAGGGTTGCTCTCAAAAGCATCCCTAGACATGCTCACATCTCCGCCAGAGCCAGGTGCAACCATTGTTTTAGCAACATCGCAAACGCCACTGGAACCACCGTTTCCAATGCTCGTACCGGCATTCTTGGTTGCATCATCTTTTGTGTTCTTGGAATCCATCTTTTGATTTTGTATTGAAAGCGATTGGAAAATAAAGAACTGGTTGTACGTTGATTAGTGAAGTAGAATGCAGAATGAAGGATTGTCTACTTATACACAAAGTTTATCAGATTATAACAACGCAAAATAGTGGTCAAACTGGCATGGAATGCAATTACCGATGTTATCTCTATTTTCATGCAAATTGGTAGCAATTATCTCGTAAACTTGCGGAGATTAACAGTCAAATTAATAAGACTACAATTAACTAAAATATGTTTTGACTTTGAATAATTAAGTTCTCAAATTTTCACCACCACGTTAAATTGAAAAACACAAAGGCCCAATACACGAGTGTTAGCCTATTGGTTGAAGCCCAATTAAGTCATCTGCGTTGCCTTGACAATTGCCATAGCGCACGCACATTCTTACGGGTCCCACTGATTCAGGTAAGGCCGGTTCGGTTTTGTTGTTATTTGTCTTTCTACAGTTTCATCGGTTTGGTAGAAAACAATACTAATAAACTATCTAAACCAACTGAAACTCATTTTACTTTGTAGACAGGTTCAGCATAAATTGATTCGGTTACCACTAGTGTTATTGAGAAATTGTCACTAACAATAAATCTAGTTATCAATTCTTAACATTGTATTAATAATTATAATGGATCATATTATTGAGAAACATAATATAGTGGATTGAGGGATTATCCATAACACCCGATCTAGCAAGAAATTATTATATATATTGATTAAAGAGAAAACATAGTTATGTAGAAACTGACAACATGAAAACTCCATTTCCTTTTGTTTATTCCAGGCCACAGAAACTACATAACCTTCCCACCCAATAAAAGCAAATCTATATAATTGAAAGTCCCTGTAACACTCTCCAGCTGATCTGATGACATGTCAACACTTCCAGAAATGCCACATCATTATTTTTCCTCTTTCTCAGCGTTCCAAAACGAGGTCGTTTTGATTATATAGATTTAATAAATAAATAAAACAAACGCTTCTTCTAATTGACGATTCATCTTCATGACTTTTTGGGTACGCCTCCTACTTATGTGAGCAATTGAGCATAACTGGAGTTGAAAATTCGCCTTTTTCTTCAGAATCAGTGACCACTCTCTCTTTAACACAATCAAAAAGTCCTTAAAGTCGCCGGAAGAAAAAAAACACACACAGGGTTTTGAGAATGGAGAAGAAAGCAAATGGTGTTGATGGGAAGAAACCGGGTCGGGTCCTCGACGGACCCACCAACCCAATGGTTACGCCTCTGCTCAACGATCTCTACCAATTCACCATGGCTTATGCTTACTGGAAAGCCGGCAAACAATCCGAACGATCCGTGTTAGTCTCTCAATTAGATAAATCTCAATCCTTTTGGAATCCACAACAGCTGAAAAAGTTCACATCTTTCTTCGTTTTTGTTTCAATCCTCAGGTTTTATTTGTATTTTCGTCAGCCTTGGTTCGTCTGTACAGCACCGGTAGGTTTTTCTTCATTCTCAAAGTTTTTAACTCATATTCTTGGATTTAAAACTAGGGAACAAACTCCATTGCGGATTAAACACTGCACTGAGTGCCATTTTAGCGAATTTCAGTTGGGTATTTGATTGAAATGGGCTCTGTAATGGCAGAAATGGAACCTCAGCTGTCTCCAGATCTAATTAAGATAATGGATCAGAGACTATCGGCAATAGAACGCCGAAATGCTGTTCTTCAGAGGCTTCTTAACCAAGTAGTCCAAAGCTTTTGCTTTATATGTTTTCAAATCCTCATTTTTGGAACAGAATAATTAATTGAATTCTCTTATTTGCACATTAATCCGTATCCTCTGGAAAGTTGTGGACTTTATATGATGCTGTTACTTTTCTTCACAGATCGATTGTCTTTGCTGTTGCCTAAAGAGCGGAGTCACTCGCAGACATATCTTCGATGCCTGAAAAAGGTCATGTTTTCACAGATCCAAAGTTCAAATGGTAAGGACACGAAAACACTAACACAACATTGCGAATCGTGCTCCTCTTTTGAGGAACGATCGGATTTGTAACACCTAATCATCTCTTGTGATTCTTATAGGTGTTGCTACTAAAGGAGGTATGCTTCAGTTATCGCTTTCTCTCTCAGTTTGTTTGGTGTTTTTCTTGTAATACTGACTCAGTTTCCTCCATAATCTCCTGGAATCACAGTGGTCAAACTATTTAATGTTGTAAGTTTGTTTCTACTTCTTTTTCGCTTGGTTATCCTCTATGAGTGATTCTTCTGAATCTGATTCAAAGTTTATTTTTCAAACAGGTAAACAAGGCTTAATATGCTCAGAAGGGTTTGAATGCTTCAAGGTCTAAAAACGCTAAAGGAAGAGTCTTAGATAATTGATCTCTGGCATGATTCTTTTTGTATCCTCCGTCTTGTCTTTATTTGCCTTCTAAATCTTGTTTTTTGTTTTATTGGAACGTCTATCAGAGTTGAAAAAGCGAAGGAAAGACGCATTCTTCAGAGTTAGGGAAAACACCGAAAACAGACACCAAAGTTTGGCATAGTTCTACATATCTCTTAATCTCTTCCTGAAATATACTTATCTTGACAATTTGAGTACTTTTGAACCCTGCACCTTTGGAATAACGTATAAGTAAGTTAGTATTCTGTCTTGATCTGGCTCCTATAGAGAAAGGAACATAACGAATCGCCTCCATTAGTTAATAGCTGTTAGTTCATTAATCATAAGTATATTTAATTGTGAGATTCTTTCTGGTGGTGCAGGCTCATAAATCATCATGTTCCCAAGGAGATGAAGCTCCTGCTTGGGCTCCTCTACGTGATAATTACATGTTAGCAAACCAAAAGCTGTAGGACTGGGACAAAAAAACAATCTGGAACATCGTGGCTGGTATACCAATATACAATCTTTGCCTCAAACTTGAAGATGAATTGTCTGCAGGAAACAAGCGAGGGAGATGATTTTGCCGATATGTCAGGAGATGAAAGTTATGAAGATTGAGTACTTGAACCAGTAGTTACACTCTAACTTAAATATTGTGTTTGTATCATGCAGCTTTTGTCTGATCAAATATCAAAAGATACTGAATTGAAAATCAATAGTATATATTAAAAGCTATTCCATAAGAATGGAGAAAAGTGATTAGGCTTTGATGAAAATATTTTGGAAATAATTTAAGTACAGAACAATGTTATTATTATTATTTCTTTTTTTTTCTTTTTTTGTGGCTGGTTTTGCAATTAATATCTACTGTAATTATAATTTGTAATATCTATTGTAATATCTTATGGGAGTGTTTATTTTATTAATCAATATTATAATTTTAAATTTGCTTTTCTGAAATGCATCATGCAATAAAATAGATGATAGACATTAAAATAATAAACCATATACAAATCCAATTTGAACCTTCCAAAGTATTGATACCTAAAAGAAAAAAAAAGAACCTCTTAATTGGCAATATGTTTTAAACAAACTTATATATGACAAAAATATGACCAATAAAGATAAAATTGTGTTACTGATTATACTACAAATATAGAATTTTTTTTTCATGTTTTTTTTGAAAAAAAACAATATTTTAAACAATTATATCAATATAATTCCGCGTGTTGCGCGGGTTCTCTCCTAGTCAACAATAAAAGAAAACGAAAGTAAAGAACCTAGCGGTTTAATTTAGATACTAAAATGTTATTATTAAATAGAACAATATCTTCAGTAATAAAAATATCATATACCACAGATATGTATATATGTATGTATACATACATAAACATAAATAGCTTATTGAAATCCCATTTTAATTTTCTTAGTAAATGGAGACAGGTGGCTATAATTGGCTTACTTGCCTTCACGTCTAAGCTCTAAAGTTCATGGCCCATAAAAACACTTTCGAAAGCTGCTTTACGAAACCACGAAAATAATTAAACGTTTTTTTTTTGCTAGAGAAAATAATAAAACTTTTGAAGATTGTATAAAGCACTAGTTTTCGAAACAAGGCTTATATGAAGACTAGACTAAAAGTTCATATAGCCATATTGATGGAATTAGAGGTAGATTATAGATTAATTCATCGTCGGAAAATGGTTTTTTGAATTTTATTCCTGAGAAAGTGTTTTTATGAAGAAAATGTAAAAAAGTGTGTCGTTTTCACCAATAACTAGTTTTCTAGTTGAAATGCATGTCGTCTCCACGTACCCTTCCTTCCTCACGACGTACACGCGCTCTCTAATCATATCATCTATACAGTTCACTCGATTATACTGCTCTGTTATTCTGCCTGTGAGAATGATACTATATGTTATCAAAATCGGACACTCTTCGTCTTGCAGAAGACGCACTAGCTAGTTTACAAGTTTAGATTCTGGCAGTAGAAATTAAATAGATTCGTACTTAATGACCTCTACAGGCTAAAAGAATATATGGACCTCAAACTCTAAGATCTTGTGGATGTTCGGTCAACAAACACTATAGTAAATGATCGAAAACTTTGAAATAGACTAAAAGGCCTTTTGGTTAGAGCTTGTGGTTTATAACTTATTAGTATGTATAAGATTCCATTTGAAGGTATATATATTGATTACAAACATTTAGTTGTGAGGGGGTCCATTTGTGAAGTAACACGTATAACAAGTTTTTTTCGACAACAAAGTAAACGTTGATCGCCACGTACGAATAAGTCGTTTCCTTTAATTAGTTGGATCGCCTTAGTGGCTACGGCAACGGGCTAAATTTGCTATCAACTTTATAGACATGACTCAACTAATATATCCTATTAGTTTATAGAAAGCTTTGGAGGACATATACACTTAGGGACAATCTAATCATAGCTAATGTTGTATCAAATTGGATAATGTTGTATTTGATTGGATTTTGGACATGATGTTTCCAAACGCAGTATTTCTGAAAATGTATCAATTTAGGTTTTTTACTTTTAAAAGATGGTAAACGTAAATACGAAGAAAAACACCAATTCATAAAAAAACGCAATCAAGTTACAGCCTTAATTCGTACTCAACTCAATGATTATCATCATTCCTATGTATCATTCACTTTTATACAATCGCAACCACCATAACTACATGCCTACAATTAGGTTGCTTACTCTAGAGTCAAAGCTCATTTTATTTACCCTTACTTTTGTTTCCATTATCTAACTAACGGTAAGATCTACGTGTTATGGTCTGTGGATAACTAAGCTCTAAAAAAAGGTAAAAATAAAGCAATTAAATCATATAATGATACAAAAAGAGTTGTTTATTGGCGACTACTCCAACCTCTTAAGAGAAAAAAAATATCGTTTCTTTAAAGTTGTGGTTTTAGATTGTTTCTCTTTCTTTTGTTTATTAAAATCATGCAATATCCTTTTATTCATTTATATAATTTTCCTTATCCTTTAAATACCCTTAACTTCCTTCCTTCCTCCAATGACAAATCAATCTTAGAACTTATAAGAGTGAGACACGCAAAAGAAGAACAAAAAAAAAAAAAAAAATCTCTCTTGAGAAAATATATAACAAAAAATGGAAGCTTCGGTACCAAAGAGAAGCTTATACACAGAAATGGAACAAAACGCTCAAGTCGCAGCCAAGAGGCTATGGAAAATCGTGCGGATCGTCTTCTGCGTTTTGAAAAACGGTACGGTCAAAAGCAAGCTCATGCTTGACTTAAAAATGCTTAAAAGAGGCAACAAAGCCATCACAAACCTCCGCCGTCGATCTAGCTTCACCGGCAGTGCTGACGTCAGCTCCTCCACACGTGTCCGTGACTACGAGTTCAGCGGCAGGAATATCCGAACAATCGACCCTTTTGCCTATATGTCCAAACGCAAACGCCGCGTCCACGGCGGTTATGACAACGACGACGATGCGGTGGCTGCTGCCGTTAAGAAGGTTTTTGAGTTGTTAGGAGAGAATGATACGAAGACTGTAGCGGTGGCAGCGGACGGAGAGTCGCCGTTGACGGACTTTCCGGCGGTGAGACAGCTTAGAGTGACGGATTCGCCATTTCCCTTAGACGACGGCGGAGATCATGATCATATGGTGGATAAAGCGGCGGAGGAGTTTATAAAGAAGTTTTACAAGAACCTCAAGTTACAAAAGCAGATGGGGAACGCGTTAGAGTCTCCGTACCACGACGGATGGGTTAGGTGATCCGAGCCTCTGGGGAGACCAACGCAATAGTTCACTTTGTGGGTGTTGAATTGCAAATGGAAAGGAAATACATGTATAGATTCTAGGGTTGGAACCGTAATCTACAAGTTTTCTTATATACTGTATATTTTTATTTTCCAGTGTATACTTTTTTTTGGTAAAATTCCAGTGTACACTTGAATTTGACTTGTTTTTATTTCTTCGGTAGTTTGATGTAAACATGGCTATGCCTATATATATAATAATTACCCTTCTTAATGAAATGAATCCATCCATAATAATTACAACTTACAGTTCACAATACTGGATTTTTTTCCTCAATATACCAAATTTTTTCTTTAAAAAGTTTTTGGACTTCACCTTCCTAACCACAGTATTCCCCGGAGGATCGTCTACTTCTATTATTCTTCGTGAAAGCTCATTAACTGAATCACCAACTGTCACTTTAGACTGAATTGGCTCTTGGGATGGTCCCACTGCTTTGGATGATGATACATATATATATATATATATTTAAAATAGCCAACATTAGATATCTAATTAAAAAAATTGATATAATTTTTTTTTATGTCCACTTATTTGAATAAGCGGCCAAATTAATCGGCGAAAGTATATTTATCCTTTTATCTATAATTTTGTTTCTTTTATATATAAAAACGATGTTTAAACATAGCTTGAATATTAGGTTAATTTTGAAAGTAGGCAGTTTTTAAGTTTTTATTGTGAAAAGAGGCAACACCATGTTTGATATTGGGAAAAGAGGCAAATTGGAGAGAGAAAATTTTTTAAATACAAAACTAACCTTGTGTCTATGAGAGAGATAGAGAGTTGAAAGGAGAGAGAATGGGTCCACTTTTCTAAACTTTATTTTCGTTGGAGAGAGAAAGTGTTGAAAAAGTAGATATAAAGAAAATTATTTTTGCCATGTCATCAAAATTTGTGGTTCACATAATAGAAACATAATAATATGGAAAAATATGTCATTTGTGATATAATAAGAAACAAAATCAAACAAACAATGTAAATAATAATATTCCCTTTCTTACTTTTAGTAAATTTACTTCTTTTTTAAAAAAAATTTGATTCATATATCTAATTAAAACATGCGTATCATATTACGATATACATATTAAAAAAATATTTTTTTTGAACATTTTCATTTATTTTGTTATAAACATAAATAATATACATAGATCTTAAACTATCAACATAAACCCCAAATTATCATCTCGAATTTTAAACTTGAATTCTTAATCCTAAAACCATAAACTTGATTTTTAAAAATTTAACGATAATATCTAAACCCTAACATGCTAGTGTATTAAAAAAAATGAATAACATTTATTTTAGTTTTAGGTATATTTAGAGAAAAAAAACTATTAAAAACTGTTATGATGTTCTTACATTTCAGTTCACATATTTTCTTAAATCTTAGACTTTGTTACCAAGTTAATTCAAAGAACTTAAACCCTAATACCTCACAATTATATCCTAAACCCTAAACCCTAAATAGGATTTTAAGAACTCTAAATGGGAAAATTTCAAAATTACACTTTTTTATGTCAGTTTTTAGATCAGTTTTCAAAACTACACCTCTGTGGTGTTTATTTTCAAAACTACATTTTTTTCATTGAGTAAAAGAGCTTTAAACCAAAAATATGAACTCTAAATCTTAAAATCTAACAATGACCCCAAAAGCTAAACCCTAAACCCCATAACCTAAATCCTAACCATGACATAAACCTTAAAATTGTAATCTCAAACTCTAAAATTGAACTCTTAACCCTAAAACCTAAAACCCTAAACTTGAAATTTTAAAAAATAACCATAATATATATAAACCCTAACATATTAGTGTAATACAAAAAAAATCATATTTAATTTAGTTTTCAGCCATGAACATAAAACCCTAAAATTGTAATATGTACTCTAAACTTGAATTCTTAACCCTAAAACCCTACCGTGGGGTAAACTTGGTGTACGCGTTTTGATACCGTACACCATGAGTGGTGTACGCGCTTTGATCCTGTACACTAGTCTTTTTTCTGCGCGTTATGTTGGTGTACGCGTTTTGGCACCGTACGCCAGTCTGCAGTGTACGCATTTTGTTCTCGTATGTTCACAAGGCAGTGGTGTACACGTTTTGGCCCGTACACCAATCCGTAGTGTACGCGTTTTGTTCCCGTACACCAGTCCGTGGTGTACGCGTTTTAGCACCGTACACCAGTCCGCCGGTCATATTTTTGTTGGCAATTCTCTCATATACCACCAAAATGTTTTTTCATTACTCTCATAACATCATTAGTTTTTTACCCATCTCATACCATAACACATAAAATTCACTTGAGACCATCAGAACTAACCCTAAACCTACATACTAAATCATAATCCGTACATACTAAATCCTCAACCCTAAATTATAAACTCAAACCCAAATATTTAAATTTTAAACTCTTTTTAAAGTTATAACTTAATTAAATCATCTAAACTAAACACCAAACCCTAAATACTTAACCCTAAACCTTTACTAAAAACCCTAAATCATAAATACTAAACCCTACATCCTAAATACTAAAAAACAAGACACTTCTCAAAAGTTTATAATTCTCTTCTCCACATATAAAAATGTCTTATTGTTGTGGGCAATTCTCACATATACAACCAAAATGTTATTTAATTACTCTTAGTCAGTCACTAGTTTTTTTCCATCTCATACCATAAACATAAAATTCCCCTGAAACCATCAACCCTAAACCTTATATACTAAATCTAAATTCTAAATTCAAACCCAAATATTAAAATTTTAAACCCTTCTTAGAGTTATAACTTTATGCAAACCATCTAAATACGAAACCCAAAATTCAAACCATAAAAACTAAACCCTAAACCATAAAAACGAAATACTAAACCATAAATTCAAACCATCAAAACTAAACCCAAACCATTCAAACTAAATACTAAACCCTAAACCCTAAATTCAAACCATCAAAACTAAACCCTAAAACATTAAAACTAAACCCTAAACCTTCAATACTAAACCCTAACCCTTAAATACTAAACCCTAAACCCAAAATTCAAACTCAAATATTGAAATAATAAATCCTTTTAAGAGTTATAACTTAATTGAACAATCAAAACTAAACTCTAAACCTTTAATACTAAACTCTAAATCATAAATACTAAACCCTACACCCAAAATACTAAACCCAGACCCAAATATATAAATTATAATTTTTTTTAAAGTTTATGATATGAATGTAAATATGGTATGAAAGGGGAAAAATAGTGATAGCATGAGAGAAAATAAAAAACATTATCATGATTTATGATTTTTTCTCTAATTTTGTGGAAATAATTATTTCTATAAAAACTAATCTTTGTTTATTAGTACATTTTACAAATTTACTTTAGTAATTTAAAAGAAAAAAAAATCATCTCCATTTATCTGAATATCTCTACAATAATGTGCTATAATGAGTTTGTTCAACTTAAATTTATTATATAACATGTTTTTTTATTAATACAATATTATTTATTAATTTAGTAATGTAAAACACATAAGATTAAAATGAAAACGTTTTGAAAAATAATTGTAGATGAAAACCAAAAATTAAAATAGTTACTATTAAATTTTTTTTTAAACTAAAATCTACAACAAAATCAAAAATCAAAATCCAAAAGCCAAAACCAAAATCAAAATCTTTAGTTATTAAAAAATTTAGAGTTTTCAAAACTTAAAAATGAAAATTGATAAATTTTTGAGAGAAAAAGTTGAATAATAAAGTAAAAAGTAATTGATATTAAAAGTGTTAGAAAATAAATGAAAACAAAAGTAAAAGAGAATTAAAATATGGTCCTCTTGTTATTTCTTAGGCGGGGTCCACACTCAATGGCATAGTTGAAATAATCTTATTCTCTAAAGGGTCCTTTTGTTATTTCTCAGGCGGGGTCCACAAGAATTGCCTCTTTGACCAATATAAACTTGGTGTTGCCTCTTTTCCCAATTAAAAACTTGAAATGTGCCCACTTTGCCAATTTTTCCTTGAATATTCGACTGACATATCTAACACCTTTTAAAATTAAAGTCCGACGATTGATTAACATGTATGATTTCACACATCATATAGTAACAAAAAACACAGAAAACTGCTAATGACATAGATTATGACAAAGATGATAGAAATAGATTCTTACAGTGTTGAGGTTGTGGTTTAGGACAATTTTCGAAAACCCACAAATATCTCAAGACGATAGAGACAGAGAGAACAACTGCGGTGATCCATATTCCCCATTCACGAACCAAATACGGGATCAAATCCGGAACCCAATCCATGTTTTTCTATTTCTTTTGAATTTTCTATTGAACCTAAATACCATTTTTATATCGAACACATAAAGGCAATTTGTAGTTAAGTACACGAAAATTGTCAATGTTGGAAAAATTATCATTTGCTCATGCTTGCCTTGTTAAATGCCATTGATTGTCTTATCTACTTGCAGTCTTGCACGCTTTAGCATCGGGACATTATTTTCCATCAACAACATGTTTCCCTTAAAATGTCATTTGGAGCTTTGAATTTTAAACCGAAAACCAACCTGGTCCCAAGTCCCAACTGAGTTGAAAATGCACTAGAGACTCGGTCAATATAATTTTTTAATCTTGATTTTAAAAACCAAAGTTGAACCAAACCAAAATAGTTTTATAATACCACATCTTATTTTGGGCCAGTTCACAATATTACCAGTTCCTTCGGTCAATAACAAACTATTTGCTACCCAATTGCAGTACTTGGGCCTGTATGTAAAGAGTCTGTTCACTTTTTTTTTATAAACAAATAGACCTGCTAAAACCAAATGAAGCCAATAATTTGGGATTCCAGTGTTGATCTTCGCCCCAATTTGCTATGAAAAAAGGCCGTCAGAATTGTACAAACTATCATATTGTGTTGAAAATTGAAATATGACCATGTGGGAGTGGGAGCTAACAATTTCAGCACCATTAGATTCTCCAACATTATAATCTAACTAATTTCCAAGTGATGCAGTTATAATATACAAGCCTTACAAGTCAACTCTCAACTATAGTTATGAAAATTACTAATTACATTTATTATTGTATTACTAGTATTTGTCAGATCTCAAAGAAAATAGTTGATAATTGTTTTCAAATCACCAGTGGTCCCAATTCTGTTGACCAATGTTGTTTTGATTATATTAACCTTTGATTAAGTAAGATCGTTCAAAATATTTAGGTACTTTAGATATCATATAATATTACCATATTTATATACAATTAAAAAGCATGTATCATGACATGAGAGGAAAAAGTATTTTAACACCCCCACACATCTGCTTTTGACCGATATATAGGTGACCAGAAGAAATCATAGAAGCGTATGTCATTGATTATTACCACATGTTCGATATTTTACGACATCATTAAACTGCATTTTCTGACAGTCAAAAACTGATACAGAAGTAAACCCATGCTGTGGTTTTTTTTTTCGTTGGGCAACCATTCCAAATAACCAAACTGAATTTTATTACAGCCTATGTTTTAATATAAACATGGCTTCAGAGGAAATTTTCAATTTTAATATAGTTTTCATTCTAAGATTTCAATGTAAATCTTTGGTGGTTCTAAATACCTCATGTAATTATAATAACAATTAATGAAATCGGACATAATTTCAAGGGTCAAATGTATTTGTAAAGACATAATATTCAACTATATGTAAAAGCGTCAAGCATTCATTTTCAAACAACGATTAGAGGAGACTAAATTATATCGACCCCTCCAAATCTTATCCAAATATTGTTTTCATCATTAACAATTATCAAATCTTTGTATCAAGATGTTCCATTTAGTTAATTACATTAATTTATTGTTTGTTTGTCGTTGAAAATTACTACATTTTATATTATTAAAAAAAATATTCGTATATATGGTTTGCCAATCTACATAGCAATAACTGCTATTATGACGAATTTTACGATTTTAGTCATATATGAAATTGTTTGGTTGTCATCACAACAAATAAATTACCTTTTTAAATTAAGATATGTTCTGTATAAACTATTATTAGTTCCACTGGAAAAAATATTAAAGTAAACTATATGTCTCACATAATTAAGTAGTACGTAAGATTGGATCATTACATGCTTTGGTATCAGAACTAAGGATATATGGACTTCAGTCCAAATTCTCTAAAGAGTATAAGCGATAAATGACCGGTGAACATTGAAGAGGTTTTAGTTTTTTTCTTTTGTTAAAAGGTTTGAAGAGGTTTTAGTTGCTCAACAAAATCACCTAGTCGCAATCACATTGGTGTCTACATATAAAACTTTTCTTCTAAGAATTTCCAAAAGTTCAAAAAGCACATTTCATTGTTTATGTGATTGAAGAAAATATATTTGATTGGAGTAAATAGAGGATTTGCTATGTAGGTGAAAGTTAGAAATCAATTTTCATTATTTATGAAAATCGCTGTGGTTTTCTCTTAGTCATTCTAAATGTTTTGAAATAGCAAAGCTATCTGATATTTAACAAAACTTAAGAGTTAGTCTATGTTACAAATATGGCTTCTTCTCTTTTGCACTTTAAAAATTAATTTTTACGTTGCTTGTAATTTTCAACAAACTAGTAGACATATATATTAGCTCCCAAGTTACATCATATATATAGACGATACATGAGATGTGGTTGATTATAACTAAATTTATAAAACGTGATACAACAACCTAGCATAACAGAAGTTTACAAAACAGAGAAAGTGTGTCAATATAGTGTACATGTATAATTAATGCGAACCACAAGTTTAATGAGATCTCAACATGGAATTGGGTACAAAGAACCTTCGATTGTTTTTTTAATATAATGTGTATGCGATTCATCAAAACAGAAATTTAACGCACCACCTTTTAATTTATATATTACTCGGATGGAAAACAATAATCTGATTAGTATTCCAAAGTAGATTCAAATTCGTGTCAAACAACGCTGAATCATGCTGATTTTGAAAAGCATTACATACATTTTTTCAAGCATTCACCTCATAGGCTACCAATATTGAGTAAAAATATGCTTGTATGTATATTATTGCTGAACTATAATAAAATATCATAAATTGAAAGCAGAAAATGAAGCTGGTTTACATGTTTGCTCAACTAAGACCGAAGAGGCACCACGTACGATTCCCACTAAGCATCGTCAAAAGGGGAAAAAGAGGAAACATTTAAGCTTTAATTTGATAAAGTGTTTGTTTATAAATTTGATTGCATAAATGAGACGAAATCCATTGCCAGTCGCCAGTAGGTAGGACATATGCTACCATAATACCTACCTGGCACAATGGAATACATATATAAATTATACTCTCTCCGTTTTTTTTTTATAGATTTTCTGGAAATTTCACACAGATTAAAAAAGTTGTTAAAATGACGTTTTTGACATTTCCTTTTTATTATCCGAAAAATAAAGTAAATAAAAAAAAGAAATATAAATATTAAGAGTGCAGAAAGTTAAGTTCAGTCATAATTATATTAGTACTCATTACTATCAGTTTCCCATGTTTAGACTCTTGGTTTTCCATATTCACTCCCGCCATTATAAACATAGCATACACACGTGAACTTTTATACGTGAACTTAAAAAAAAAAAAATCTTTGGAGCCAAAATTTTAAGCAATTTATTCAAATTTTCAGTAGTGCCAAAAACATCAAATTTAGTTTACTGAAATTGCTATATATATTACCAATAAGTCGTAGATTGTAACACCAACAGTTTCTTAATGGCTTTTGCTCACCATTTCGATCTAAATGTTCCTATTACAGATTATGAGAGAGTTGGAGAGACTTTTTTTGATTTAAATAATACACCAACAAATTATTCCGAAGATTCCGAAGATGATTTAGCCAATCCATGGATGTTGAAACGGAAGTTCTTTCTCCAAATGTAACAGGTCATTTTCATTTTCTCTTATTTTATTTTAATAATCTTTTAAAGTTTGTAACTTTGTACATGTAGTATTTTTCTGTCTAGTTGGTTCTTACTATAGTCCATTTGTTTACGTGCATGGTTTGATAACCATTTGTTACTTACATGCATGGTTTGATAAAGCATTTGTAGTAACAAGTTTGAGTAAAAAAAATTATTGCATTACGTCTGATTTTTCCATAAATTATTTTATATGGAACCTTAAGTAATTTTATGTTACTATTAATGAATTAACAGAAAATCTGGAGGCTACACAAAATCAACAAACCATCACCAAGAGAAAAGAAATGACAGATGCTGAAAGATGGGAAGTTTACCGTGCGTTGTTGCAAAGAAGTAATAATGGAGTTCTGAAGAGGGGGACAACGAAGGAAGTTGCAAATTTACTTGCAGTGCCGAAACAGTCGGTACAGAAAATTTGGCGAAGAGCCAAAGATAATGTTTCTAATGGTGAAGCTGTTGATGTATCACACAGGAGGAAAGGGAAGTGTGGTCGCAAACCAAAGGAGATTGACTTGGAGCAAATTTTTAATATCCCATTACATTGCCGGACAACCATGAGATCGATAGCTGTAGTTTTGGAGGTCAGCCCAAGTACTATTCACAGATATGTGAAACATGGTCTCGTGAGACGACATTCCAATGCAATCAAACCAACTCTAAAAGACGACAATAAGAAAGCTCGGGTAAAGTTCTGCTTATCTATGCTTGATAAAAATACTTTTTCTCATCAGCCAAAGTTTGTTGATATGTTCAATATCATACATATCGATGAGAAATGGTTTTACATGACTAAGAAGTCAACGACGTATTATCTACATCCCCTCGAAGAAGATCCGGTACGTTCGTGTCAAAGCAAAAATTTTATTGGAAAAGTAATGTTTCTAGCTGCTATGGCTCGCCCAAGATTTGACGAAGAAGGAAACGAGATATTTTCTGGCAAAATTGGAATGTTTCCTTTTGTTACAATGCAAGAAGCTCAGCGACGGAGTCGAAACAGAGAAGCGGGAACCATGGAATTGAAGCCGATGGACTCTATCAAGAGAGAAGACATAAAAAGATGCTTGATAGAAAAAGTTCTTCCAAATATTCGCGAGAGGTGGCCGACGGAAGATTTTGGGAAAACCATTTTCATCCAACAAGATAATGCAAGAACACATGTTGACGTAAATAACGAAGAATTTCAAGAAGCTGCTTCACAACATGGATTCGATATTCGGTTGATGTGTCAACCGCCAAATTCACCATATATGAATATTTTGGATCTTGGATTTTTCCGTGCCATTCAGTCGTTGCAACATAAAGTGTGTCCCACGACGGTAGAGCAACTTGTTCATGCGGTGGAGGAAGCGTATGATGAATATCCTCCGAAACAAGTCAACAAGATCTTTTTGACTCTACAGTCATGTTTGCTAGAGACCATGAAAATTGGAGGTGCAAACACATACAAAATTCCACATATGAAGAAAGATCGATTGGAAAGAGAAGGACGTCTACCTATCCAATTGGCTTGCGATCCCATCTTAGTACAAGAGGTGATAAGTTCTTTAGCATGTTAGAAGAGGTGATAAGTTCTTTAGTTGCATTCTCTTTTATTATGATGTGAAAAAATTTCCAGTTCTTTTATCAAGCTTTTTAATTTTCAGTTTCTGATTTTATAATATCATAATGATAAAAATACATTCTCAAGTAGGCGTTGAAAAAAAGTTCTGCTAATTTGCCACTTAACTTAAGAAACTCATTACATAATCTTCTTCAACAACACACAAATAGATCAATCATTAAAATATTTAGGAAGCAAAATTCTTAGCATTTCTAACGTAGTTTGTCGAAATTCTGGGTAGAGCACCGCATGACCTGCATCATCCTCAAGAATCTTGTTTAAATCGAATGCATGTCTCACAGATCGATTAATTTCCGTCGTGTTTTTTTTCTGCATCTCTGGAAACTTGGACAAGTCGAAATCACGATCCACGTGACTTTGATGAGCAATTTCCATCAAATCTTCCTCTTCTTCAATCTCCGGAAGCTTGTTTAAATCGAATTCATGTTTAATACAGACATTTTTTTTTTCTTTGATCTCTTTGTGACTCATGAGTTTTGGATGAGTTTTGGAGAAGAATAAAGATCTGTATATAAGAAATAAAGAGTTTGGGAGAAGCAACAAAGAGTTAATGTAGTACTACATGTTTCACGTCATACGAAGCACAAAAGTCTCTTTGTCTTTTTAAACAAGAAAAAACAAAGGAGGAGAAAACAGGAAATATTTTGCCAAATAAGCATTGGAAACATACAAAATTTATTTTTGTGAAACAAAATTTTAATGCTAGAAAATCTATAAAAAAAAACGGAGGGAGTATTAATACTCCAGTATACTGTAAAATGAATTACCGATAAAAACTGCTAGCTCGACTGAAAAATTACTAGACGACGTCTAGAAATTGCTACAGATGGTGTTAATGACGTAATTATACTATATATTCTTGTTTTCAGTTTGTTAGGATGTACGAGGTTGGTTTAAAAATCTCTTAATCAAAATTCATAAGCAAATCCATTATTAAAAAAATGATTCTGCAAAGAATCTCCGGTAGCCAATCTCACCGAGCCGAAGCTTTCTAGAGCCGTCAAAATTAAGACACGTGTGCTTATTAGCCTCACGTGTCATATAGTCAACGGTAAGTAGCTTAAATAAACAGCACAGCTAGTATCTAATTAGGACCATGTGCGATCCCAAGCAAAGTTAATTAATTAATAGTTTAATAATTTAACTTTTGGGAAAAGCCTGGTTAACAGAGGAGCGTGGGGCACACGTGTGAGATGCCGAGCGTGTGGGTTCCCTTTAATTTAGTTAATATTTTTTTTACGATCAAAATGCTTCTATTTATGGTATCATATGATATGTACTTTTTCCTTATCAAAATGTCTATATATGGTGGCCATAAAAAAGGGTCTATAATATATTTTTTCCTTATATATACATGTGTGTCAGTGTCCGCATGTGTACATATATGTATTCAACGTGAAGAACAAATCTACAGCGGAGATAAACAAGATTAAATAGTTCTTTTTCTTAACTTGTTACAATATCTTGCCCCAAAAAAACTTGTTACAATATCATTGTTGAAACTCGAATCCTAATTCTTTAGAAATTTCAAAATGTTTCTAGCGCTTCAGTCAAAAATACTGTACAATTAAGTACGATTTAATAGTAGTATATGACTTTTCCAAAAATATGAGCTAGCAGTGCCGGTCCAACGAATTTAAATGCCTTACTGGAATCTAAAAAGTATGTCTTTTAATTTTTTTTTTCCAAAATCACAAAAACAGTAAAAATATAAAAAACCCTTTAAAACTTCATAAAACAAACAAGTTCTAAATAAACAATTCCCAATTAGTAAATAGTTTGCGAAAAAAAATCAAAAACTGATTTCTTATGGCTTACATAAAGCTCTCCTTAGATTTTGAGCTGTAAAATCATTTATTAAACTCACATAATGATACACTGTTAACAAATGTCTTATAAATATTAATATCACTAAAAAGGTTTTAAAACTTTGTACATGATATATAAACCCCTTTAAAAAAATTAACAAAAATATGTTCTTGTTAAAATTTGTAAATAATACATTTAAGAAAAATTTAAGTAACTAAAATATACCTTTGTTAAAACTTTGTAAATGATGTTTATACACCTTTTAAAAAAAAATATTAAAAATATGCATCTAATAATTGGATGCCCTACTCGGCCGCTTACCCTACATGTGCTCAGGGCCGGCCCTGTGAGCTAGAGTTACTAAATCCAACTATAGTTTTTTGTTTTAATAAAAAAAAAATCCAATTTAATTCAATTATAGTTCCTAATACAATCGTGAAATAGTATAAACCAAAAAACTATTCGTGTGGACGATAGGCTATTTGTACAATCGAAAGTAGCTGGCTACTTACGTGTCTCAACAATTTTGATATTCTTCGTTAACTTTTTACTTTTGTGTAAAACCCATGCATCACGTGCTTTATGACTCGATATTGTTCCTCTTTCTTTCCAGTTTTATCACTTTCTTCCCCATGTAATGTGTTATACGTAATAGTGAATACTAGACCTTCTTTTTCTGAAAAAAATAGTAACGCAGACTGAAAATTGTGTATAGTCAAGAATTTAAACAATTTGTGTTAACAGAAAAATCGGAATTCTGGCTACAATGATAACCAGCGATCAACGGATATATATCTAATATCTCGTCATGTTTCTCTTCTTAGATTGTTCGTATGAACCAGCGATCAACGGATATATATCTCGTCATGTCTATATAGCTAAATAATAGAATGTGATTTTTCAAAAGAGGTTCCTATACGTATAAATAAAAAAAGCAACTCTTCTGCGACCACCAACCAAACACATGTTGTTAAACGCTGGTACTTTTTGAAAGTACAGTTCTCTAACCGATGTTACTGATCTGTCAATTTTCAACCGAAAGGTTATACTATAAATAATAATTAATCTGTTATTAACCAAACAACTTCGAATATTTTACGTTCTCTTATGATTATTCCTTTGTTAACCCTTATATTATACTATATTTCATTATATTTAATAATATCATTGTATTTCTACCTTTTTCAAATCTGTCTTTCTTTTCCGGATTTGGAAAACTTTTGTTCGAATGGTTGAGACCAAATTGTGTTAAGCCGAGTCATTGTCCAATATCTTTAGTCATTTGTGCATCACCGACCGAACTAATTATTCATTAATTTCTATTAGTTCCTGAATGCTATAATCAGTTCATATAATTCGAATTCTTTAAATTATACAGTATATTATCAACAAATAACTTGAAAAAAAAGGAATATATATATATAAAGAATCAGTGTCGGTCCAATGAATTTAAATGCCCTACTCGAATTTTAAAAGTATGTTTTACAAAAACAGTAAAAAAAATCTTAAAACTTCATAAAAAAATAAGTTCTAAATAAACAACTCCCAATTTGTAAATAATTTGCGAAAAATATATAAAGAAGAACTGAATTCTTATGGCTTAAATATAGCTCTCCTTTGATTCTGAGCAAAGTCATTCATTCAATGATTAAACTCACATAATCGAGTTTTTCAACCAAAGCTGACTTAATCTATAAAAAAGCCAATTCATTCATTTTTTCTTGTGACATGGTAGATCGCAGGTAATTCTTAATCAACTTCAACTTTGAAAAACTTCTTTCAGCAGTGGCAACCGATACAGGAATATTCAACAATATGCAATAAGAAAAATTTAAGTAACTAAAATATGCCTTTATGAAAATTTTGTAAATAATATTTATACACCTTTTTAAAAAAAATTATGTAAAATATGCCTCTAGTAATTGGATACCCTACTCGGCTGCTTACCCTGCATATGCTCAGGGCTGGCCCTGTAAAGAATCAAGTGGTTTTCATCTTGTTGATATCGAAGTACAATTCCATCTCATTTTGTGCATGTTTGATCACTTTAGCATTCACATGATGTAGTTGCAGATTTGGGTTAGCATGGGTTATGTATAAAGAATCCAAAAGCACAACGAAAACACATGAACTTAATTTAGCTTATCATCCCAACTGAAGCCCATCCGTTATATATATACACGGATACACCCATGATGGTGCATATATACACAAACAAACCGGATATATATATGCAAATATAATATTAAAGCTTTATTCATATATACCCATAAAACCATATTTAAAACCTTGTGAACGGTGATGTTCCATCTGCACCATGTTTTCAAAAGTGTGGAATAAGATAGCTATATATGATCTTGAGATGTGTTATATTTTATGTTATCTCCCAAAGACTAGAACTAGAAGTGTCTAAAAATGGAATAATGGGCACATGCATATAGGTTGTGGAGATCGAAAAGGATCCACTACATACTTACTTTATCATTTAATTCGACCTATCTATACGTATCCACAAATCCGACATTATTGTTATGCAAAGCTGCTTGTTGCAAAATTTAACCTGTAAAGCGGTACAAATATCGTATTTCTGTGTGTACATCCACATATATAATACGTGGTGGTGAGGCAGAGAGATATTATGCGAGTGAACTGTGAAGTTGTCACAACTGCATTATTATATGTTAGGGTCAAAATGTTTTGTAATTTTGTTGAATAGAGATTCTACTGTTCTTTTGTTTTGTTTTTTCTTCTCTTTTCTCCCCACTCTTATCTCTTTCATTATTCGATTATATATTTTTTTTCTTGAGAAATGGTTTCATTGTTTGATTTTTTAAATGTAATGATTTTTTCAGTTTTCCACAATTTGTTACTACTGGATATTGCACGTTTAGAGCTCATCCAAATTTTGAAAATATATGTCAAATCAATTATAAAGTTATGCAAGCTAGTTGAATACTAAAGTTTATTAGTGTGAATATGTATCAACATGCAAAACTAATGTAGATAGAGAATTGAAATCATTAGGCCAATAGTTGTTTAATTAGTACTTAGAATCGGTGACCAATTTTAATGAAATAGCTGACCACTATGATAATAGTTTACGTGGTGACCGTAAATCAAAACTAG